TTTCTTTGCGTAGAACTAGAGTGTAGACCAGATGTGTGGGGGATGAGAGGATTCATCAGAGACTGACTGGGGAGCAGAACAGGCAGGTCTACTGAAGTACACTGCTGAGGGGAGCAGGTGAGACATGAGAGGTCTGCCACACCATGTGGGTTGGCACCCTGGCTGGAGTATCTGTGATAGTGGAGACTTAACCCATAGGTTAAGTAAGCTAAAGACACTTCCCCATGAGTTCGATCCCCGCCCCGGAGGTGATCCACATGGCGTGGCAGACCTCTCCTGACCCGCCCGCAGCTCCCCTCAGCAGTGTATTTCGTCAGTCAGTCTGCTCGGCTCTGTCTCTGGTGAATCCTCTCACTGCCCTGGCACCTCGGGCCTGTACCCCACTTCTATATGCATAAATAAAATAAATCTTTAAAAAAAAAACAACTGGGTACAAATCCTCTCTTTACCACTAACCAAGCAGGAATCCTAGAGCAACTTGTTTATTTCCTCTAGATCTGTTTTTCTATCTTTAAATAAGGATAATCATTACCTAACTCAGAGGTTATGACATCCAGACTGAGGAAGACCTGGAAACTTCAGGCATATGAGTCACTGCCACGTCAAGCATCAGAAACCCCTGAGAGCTGTGGTAGAGCTGGAGCTGTGCATCCAATGTCACACAGGTTGCCCTGGGAAAGTTGGTTGGAGGCATACCACTTAAAGAGACATCATAGCTCCTTTCCAACTCTCAGCCTTGATAAGCCACCGACTTTGGTCAGTGAGCAGATGCAGGTAAATGCTGCCAAAAACAAGAATTGTTCTTATCATTGTTGTGGGGTGAGGAGGCATAGTTCTGGGGAACAGAAAGCTCCCAAAACAGCTTGTGGTTGTGAAGGTCAAATTCTTCAGAAGAGCAGACTGGTGATTACCAGAGGAAGGGGTTGGAAAATGGACAAAATGGATGGAATAAAAGGCACAATTTCCCAGTTATATAAATGACTAAGTACTAGAGATATAATAGACAGAATGGTGGTAGTTAATACTTGCATTGTAGATTGAAAGTTGCTGAGCATGGATCTTAAAAGTTCTTATTACAGGCCCTCCCTGGTGGTGCAGCGGGTTAAAGCACAGCACCAAGAAGCCAAAGCCACTTACACATGAGTTCGATCCCCACCTGCCCCGGAGGTGATCCACATGGCGCGGCAGACCTCTCCTGACCCGCCCGCAGCTCCCCTCAGCAATGTACTTGGTTGATCTGCCTGTTCTGCTCCCCGCTTTGTCTCTGGTGAAACCTCTCACCACCCCTGCACCTCTGGCCTGTACCCCAGTTCTGTATGCACAAATAAATAAATCTTAAAAAAAGAAAAAAAAAGTTCTTATTACAAGGGAAAAAATACATGTAACTTTATGATGATAGATGCTAACCACAATAAGGCGATCACTTTGCAATATATACAAATTTAAACCACATATTGTACACCTGAAATTAATGATATGTGTCAACTTATTTCAAAAAAAATACCAAAAATATGTTAAAAACTAAGTCTGAACAATCACGTTAGTCCCATCATTTAAACAAAACTAAAATATCTAACATTTAAAATTTAAAACACTGAATCTTTATTTTGTCAGGACAAAAACATTATTTTCATGAAAATCTTTTGTCATATTTTAAATATTAAGAAACATTACAAAATTACTATATTACAAAATTACAAAATTACTATAAAATTACTATAGCTTTATAAATAATTCATTTGTAATCAATAGAAGAAATTTGCATATCTGAACAGAATTACAGCTATTTTAAATATAAAAATATAATTTACGTTTCATACATTGATTAACAGATTTCCAAAATGCAGTATTCAAAAATATTTCAAGCATATGCTATGAATTTTCTAAAAGGGAAAGCTTTATTTCAAAAAAGTTGAATTTTTGTCATCAATACTTTATTACATGGCACAAACTTCTCAAAATAAGATATTTAATGAGGTTTTTTTAACGTTCCCTTTTTTGTTACAATTGAATAGTGATAGCTAGCCTTAAAAGACTTCCTGTCTCCAACTGAAATAAAGATGCCATATTCAACCTTCACCAGCCTCGGAGGTAATAACCATCAGTCATTTCTCAGAATTAGGTTTTCAATAACAGGTGAGAGACATGCTGTGCCACATGTACCCTTCACAATCTCAGAAACATTCCATTACCATGATCTGTGACTTGTAAATACTCATATCTCTTTCAATCCGCACCAAGATAATAAATGTGTATTTTACACAGAACATGAATACTCATGGCTGTGAGTTGAATACCACCTACTATCTCTTGACTAACTCATAGCTTGGGAAAAATACTTAACAGTCCTAACCTAGTACTCCACCAGAATACTATCAGTGCTGATGGTATCCATACATTTTTAGTTATGTCAGAGAGGAGAGGGACATTATGTGATCTTTTATATCTTTGGTGGGTAACTATGTTCTATTAAGAAAACCCATTATTTTGGAAACTTCATTTGCACATGAAATTCATTCTGTTACCATGCTAGGAAGGCAATGATAATAGAATAGCAGGAAGGCTCTCTCTATTCTAGATAAGTCTAACAAGAACATGGAACTAAATAAAGTGTTTTACTTGGAAAATGTCCATTTGTTAAAGGTATGGGGTAGGAGGGGAAATATTGCAAGTTAAGCATCATTTGGAAAAATAAAGTTCTTCCTATTTAGTTACCTGCCACATTATAATATTGGATATAGCACAGAGAGGTTAACTAATTATTGCTTTTATAATTGAATTTCTTTTTTGTTTCTAACTTCTTTTTTTTGACAGTTTCATTTTTTATTTATCTAGTTTTCAATTGTATTATATTTCATAATTAGACTCTTCAAAAATTCTGTATCATCATATTATATTCTTGAAACATTGCAGAAACCCAAGATGCACCTATTTGTAATCATCAGAATGTGTACATATGATTAGGACCGAGCAGTGTTCTATCTTCTGAAGCCAGTGTTCAGTCATCACTGCTGCAATCAAACCAAACATGATGTGCTCTTAGTGGCCATTCAAAGATGTTATTTTGCACAGAAGGAAATCAAGAATAAAATAACCATCCTCCATTAGGGGAAAAAGAAAAATTACAGAACAAGAGAAGACAAGATTCCTTCTGAAAATATTCAGTGGGTGTCAATAAAATGGAATGTTTAAAATGTGATTTGCAGGAGAGGAAGTCCATACCTGCAGACTGTGAAAATGAAAAGCAGCCCCTGCTTTTCAAAAAGACAACATTCATGAACAGACATATTTTCAGGTAAAGAAAATGACTTTGTTATTAGTTTATCAACAGGATACCAATTTCAAGAAGAAAATCTATTACTATGAAAGCACCTGGGTCCAGCTGACCCCCTTAATTATGCCATTTAATGATAACTGACAAATACAGTAAGAGCTGGATGTAGATATCAGAGCCTGTACATCAGAATTCTAGAAAGACCATGGTGGTGAGCACACCCACTTTGTGAATGAGGTTCCATAAACAAGGATCTGCACCAAGAATCTGCATCTCCATTCTTGTCCCAAAATGAAAGAGGATGGACATTTACCAACAATAAACAATGACTTTATTTTAATTGCTTCAAATATAACATTTTGCACAAGGAAATTACTTTTGTTCACTTAAACTGTTTCTGGGGGCTTCTCAAGTTATCAATAACCTTTCCACTCTACATATATCAGCATGTCTCTGTGTGTGTGTGTGTGTGTCCTGCCAAGAGAGGTGTTATTAAAATTAGTAGGTTTTGGGGAACATGGAAAGATAGTCACAAAACAAATAGCAACAAATTATAGCATGAGCTAGATTCTATTTTTAAATGATGAACAAGAACAGTAAGATAATGCACATTGTACAAACTACTTTCATTATACATTAATGACAAAAACCAGTTTCTGAGCAGAGTTTAGACTAATGAGACAAAGAATATCAGTTTCATGGCATTAAACTCATGTGCGAGGGGAGGGTAAAGTTGCACCAGAAAACAAGAGTTATCTAACCCAGCATGAAAAGAGACTACTTCTGATTTCCTAGAATATGACGCTCACAGGTTATTATTTCTGATCATCATGGCAGCATAGCACATTTTCACCTAACACTTTAGAAGAATGCTTGGTCACACCATGGTCTGCCTTATTAAATGATCTATGCTGAAACCATTCATTTCCATTTCTCTTATATCTGTAAAATGTCAAATAAGAGTGATAAGACAGTCATTTACCTTCAATTTTCTCAATAATGTAAGGTTTTAGAGAGTGTGTGTTAAAACTCTAAAATAATAGGCTAAAAATGTTCTCAATTCTCCTTCCTTTATGTTCACTGGGGGGGAAATCTATTTCTGATAGTGTCTCCTCCAAATTTTCAGAGGCTTAAAAGCATTGCTCTTTAACCTGGAAAATGTTCTCAAATATAGTTATTTTCTGAGTGAATATCTTTCAAAAGAAAAATACTACAGAGTCTATAAAACCCTCCCTGCAGTGCTTATAAAGGGTAACAGAAAAGTACATAGGGGTGGACAAAGAAATGTTTTAAGAAATGAAATGCTAAAAAAAAAAAAATCAAATATAAGTGCTTTTTCATCACTCCTCCACATATGTAAACATATGCACAACACAACAGATTTCAACAGTTTTTAAGACACAAAGAAACATCACATCAAGCAATCTTTGTTTTACAAAGAGAAAACTAAAAAAAAAGGAGAGAGCATGGGACACAAAAACCATCAGCTCCAGGAGTTTTCCTCTCCTTAGAGAATTAATAAGACTTGTAGACATAGAAAGCATAATTCATATGTCATTTCCTGAACACTTATTCAAGCAAAAAAAAAAAAAAACTAAAATGAAGATGCAAGGCAAATCATACTTTAATCCTAATTTTCATTGCACTAAGATTTTCTGAAAGAAATCTTACAAAGCTACAGAAATCTGTCCCTTAATATGTGGAAAAAAGAGCAAAATGTTAATGGGGAGTAAAATCATCAGTCTAGGAAGATTCCCAGATTCCCATGAAACTTACTTTAACAAAGACTTTGAATGAGTATTAAAATAGACCATATTTTATGTGATTTATCTTAAGCACAGTACATATCAGTTGTATTAAAAGGTATCTAGAAATTATATCTCAAATATATTCCAAACATAAAACCAAACGAGAGTCCGCAATGGTGCTTGCAAGCAGATTTTAGCACTTTGTCTTGTTTTTAAGAAACAATGGTTCGTTTTTCCAGCGAGGGGTTCATCCACATCATAATCGTCCCTGTTTGGCATCACTGATAGCTCCCCAAATCTCAAAGACAAATTCCTCTGGGAAAGCTGTTTCTCCAAGCATTTCATTGAGAGCCACCGCAAATCCATCTGTGTTTCTTTTGTCTTTTCCAGCTTCAAATATTGAGGTTGCTATTAAAGATAAAATTAAAAAATTAATGTTACATGAGACAATAACAGAAGACTAAGAAAACTGACACCAAATTTCTTTCTAAAACTAACAGGCATGCATGTCATATATTTTTAGTAGAAAAGAAAACAAGGTACTCTCTATAGTTTACCAAGGGAGCCAAGATTATTTCAAACTATTTGTCCACTCACCCAGCTTTGCCCTCACCTTCCTACATTTCCTCCACCTCAAAGTCAACTGGAAACCTCTGACATTTCTATGGTTTCTGGATCAAGAGCTCCAGAAAGAGCTCTTGGGCTAATCCTAACAGAGGGGCGCACCCCTTCTCACACCTCCCCAAGTATTCCCAGACAGAGTCACTAGCTCTCTCTGCCACCTTCCTTAGACTCTTACCCCAACTGTGACCGAAATAGGAAACCATGAATCCATAGTGAAACAGATGATTGGTGTGTAGATAAAAGATGCTGTTTCCTTGGGCCCTCCCTGGTGGCGCAGCGGGTTAAAGCACAGCACTAAGAAAGTAAAGCTGCTTCGGCACAGGTTCAATCCCCGCCTGCCCCGGAGGTGACCACATGGCGTGGCAGACCTCTCCTGACCCGCCCACTGCTCCCCTCAGCAGTGTACTGCGTTGATCTTCTTGTTCTGCTCCCCACTCTGATGAATCCTCTCACCACCCCTGTACCTCTTGCCTGTAACCACTTTTATATGCACAAATAAAACAAATCATAAAAAAAGATGGATAGGCAAGAGACTGATTCACAAGAAATAGGTTATTTACATAGTTTCAAAGTATCTCCCAAAATATTTATTAGGTACAAATGAATAACTTTACAGTGGAGAAGCCTATCAAATACCACCTTAAATAAATCATCAAAGTGAATAGCATCTGTAGTGGAAAATCAAAATTCTATGCTTCCTGCTAAGATGTAATGAATGAATACAGGATTACATGTCAAAGAGGTGTGATGTGTAGTCACGAAAGAAAAAAAATTTAATATTGAGGAATATTCTACAAAATAACTGGCTGTATCCTCTGTAACATCAAGGTCATAAAAATTAGCGGGAAACTGCTCCAAATTGACACAAGTAAAAGTGAAACCTGATTTTGAACATGTCCTTTTGCTATAATGGACATTAAGACATTCAGTGAAATATAAGGAGGAATAAATATACATTATATGGCACTGATGTACCTCGGTTAATTTCACCATTTGGATGGTTATATTGTAGTTAGATAGCAAAATATCTTTGTTTATAGTAATAGACATCTATTGTTCATTTTCTCTCAAACGGCTCAAGAGAAAAAAATTTTTGTATTGTATTTTTAACTTTTCTGTGTTTGAGATTGTTTCAAAATAATTTTGGGCAGTGAAGGAATTAAATCTCTTCACATGGTTCCTCAACAGCAAGTGCCAGGCCTCAGCCCTGATTCCAAAAGCTTCTCCATTTACCATCAACCTAGATGCAAACACTTCCAGGAAGAGGCAGGCATCAGTGGCAGCTGGATCTTACACTCCAGCCCAAGAGCCATATGAGTTACCAGATTCTCCCAAAGCCTTTGAGATTATCAATGAGTTTTTATATATTTTTAATGATACACCAAGCTTGACTGGGATGTTTTAAAGCAAACACTCAGATACACTTGTTTGACTTTTTTAGGATTGGCTTCTTAAAAACTGGTAACAAGTATCTAAATCCTTAAAAATGTTCTTAATCCTTTGATCTATTAATATTTCCATGTCTATGAAGTTATAATTCTTTTTTTTTACGATTTATCTATCTGCATACAGAACTGGGGTACAGGCCAGAGGTACAGGGGCTGTGAGAGGATTCACCAGGGACAGAGTGGGGAGCAGAACAGGCAGATCATCAAAGTACACTGCTAAGGGGAGCAGTGGGCGGGTCCGAAAAGGTCTGCCACGCCATGCCATGTGGTCACCTCCGGGGCAGGCAGGGATCTAATTCATGCTGAAGTGGCTTTAGCTTCTTAGTTCTGTGCTTTAACCCATTGTGCCACCAGGGAGAGCCTGAAGTTGTAATTCTTAAGAAAATCTTTAAAAACTGAAAAGACGTTAGCATAATAGTAACTAAAAAAGCCTCTAAGATGTAGGATGTTAACTTACTTTTGGTATAATGAAATAAATCAGATATTTCAAATCTATCAGATATTTGATGACATTTCTTAAATCATTTTAAATAACATTTATGAAAATTTGTGAGAACCAAGGGAAATCTTTTTGCTTTGATATCCACTGAAAATCAATGAATAAATTTTATATACAATCACAATTACGTTTTTGCAAAAAAAAAAAAACTACATGGGATGGGTAAATGGAAAAGTATGTGACAAAGAGGTTAGAGTAAAATTTTAATGTCAGAATCTAGATGATAGGTATAGAGGTATTCAATAAAAAGACTTCCAACTATATTGTGCATTTAAGTGCCATAATGGAATATAAAAGAAAGAAACTTCTACACAAACAACAGAAGAAAACTAATACTTGCCAGCTGTAGGGGGAAAAAAAATTTGTAAAAGGCCTGCTGAACACTGTAAAACTATGGCTGACTTACAATATTTACTCATGGGTATACTTGTAGGGACTAGCTGTATTTCAGAAACTATTTGCTAAGTCATTAAGGAACACATTAATGTCTACTCTCTTTCAATAGAGCATGACAGTCAACAAAAGAAGGAAGATGCCTTCAGAGTGTATTTTATAGTGAGAGAAGAAAACAAGCACCCAGAAAATAGAACTCTATCAGTCTATACCCCATCAATAGGCCGTGTTGATCTCTCTTGAGATCATCTTGCCTTGGAGACCTTCTCTACAGTCCCAAGTTAACCATGACCTTACTGCAGAGATGTCCCAAATGTTTGCTTCCATCCCCAATTTCTCTTATGAGTTCTGATACCCATTTCTGAAAAACTGGTGAGCCTGTCTACTTAGAGTTCTGCTAGCATATCAAACATGTCCAGAAACCAAACATTACCTTCCTTCTGAAAAAAAAACTGCTACTTTTTCTCTTCTCTCTACTATGAGTAGTGCTGTCTCTTTGTACCTGTATACCAAACCTTGCCTTCCCTTGAGTCTACCTTTGCAATCTCTCTGCTCTGGTCCTTTCAACCACTCTCACTGCCACAATGCTATTCATTCCTTACTTTCCAAATCAAATTACCAAAACACCCCCCAAAGACATTAGAAAGATTTCTCTTCCTAAAGCACAGCTCTGCTCCTACTAGGCAATGAACCAAAGGACCAGGAAGTTCCTTTTCACCTCTCAGACCATGTATTCTCATATAAAAAAAAAAAATTCCTAGATTACACAATGCTTAGCTTAAAAATTCTAACTGCTAAACTAACATTCTGACTCAGAGTTCTCTTGGCTCTGAAATGGCTATACATGTCTACACTAAGGCTATGTCCTCATATATGTGATCATTCAAAATGCCATCTCCCTTCCTTCTTTTGCCCAGGGTGATCTCCTAGCCACAAAATCTCTCCTTTAAAGCTCTTCCTTCATGAAATACTGTGATAAAAACTTAGAGATTATCTGCACTCTCTAACCCTTCTGACAATCCTCTATACATAAAAGTGTGCAGGTAAAATGCCTAGGATCTTGGTAAAATGCAGATTTTGGTTCAGTAGCTCTGCAGCAAAAATAGATTCCACATTTCCAATAATGCTCAGGTAATGTTGATCCCTGGACTACAGCTGAGTAATAAACCTTACAGTGTATATATTTAGCCTTCCTTCTATATTGTCAATACTTTCATCTACATAAGTTCTCTTCTATTACAGGATAAACTCCCAAGGTATCCTGAATAGTTTACTCTGCCTTTTATGTCTATAAAATAGTTCTGTGTCTTATGTATATAAAGCTAGTACATGGGGAAGCATGGGGGTGACTTTGACTTTGTGATTATAATTCAAGAGTTTTTGCACTGTAGCCAAGAAATAAAAGAATAGGCAAAATGTAGAAGTATTGCAAAAACAGGACTCAATTTGCTTAGTCTACCATTTTAAATAGTTCTCACAGGCCCTACAGATATCATTAATTGAGACAGCTACCTAGAAATTATACTGACAAGAGAGAAACACAATGTAGTTAAAAAATAAATGTATATACTGGCCCTCCCTGGTGGCGCAGCGGGTTAAAGCACTGCACTGAGAAGCTAAAGCCACTTCCGCATGAGTTCGATTCCCGCCTGCCCCGGAGGTGACCACATGGCGTGGCAGACCTCTCCTGACCCGCCCGCTGCTCCCCTCAGCAGCGTACTTCATCGATCTGACTGTTCTGCTCCCCACTCTGTCTCTGGTGAAGCCTCTCACCGCCCCTGAGCCTCTGGCCTGTACCCCAGTTCTGTATGTACAAATAAATAAAATCTAAAAAAAAAAAAAAATGTATACCAATATACTCTACCAACCACTCAGAAGCAGAGATAGTGCAGATGACTGCTGCTCTCCAGTGCTAGGAAAAACAGTGCAAGGGACCCAGATGGTCACTGTTACCACCGAATTAACCAGTCTCTCTCCTCTCTCTCTCTCATACCTTGACAGTACTGACTAGCATGTCTCACCTGTCCTGACTTGCAACCTCTGGTTTGGATGCCTTCCTTAGTCACAAAATGTAAATAACATCCTGAAATTCCTCTGCTATAACCTTGCAGTCCAAACTGTGTAATCAATCTCACCAATGCTGGCACAGCAGAAAAGCGGGTGGTGGGGCGGTCCACATTAAGTGCAGCCCCAGAGTTGGTCAGACCTCCAGTCTGGTCCTACATGTTCTACCATTACTACTAGTGATTATTAGTGGCCACTGCTAAGGATAACAGTTACATATTTTTTATCATGTAACTGGGCTTTCTAAATCAGATGCCTTGGTAACCCCATTATTCTGTACCCCTTTTATATTATGTGGAAATTAAGGCTCAAACTTTAATATTTTTCCCGAAGACTAAAGCTTCAGACTAATGAAATCAGGATTTATCACTATTTTGGGC